TAGAGCAGTGTTTTTCAACCTTCTTGAATACGCGACCCCTTTACAAGTTAAAAAATTCTGGCGCCCCCCTAGGGCCATATTAAAACTATATCAGTGATTTTAAAAACTATATATTTAATTTTCTTTCTGTTGAGACAAATTATTGTTGATTAAAGTGAAAATTTCAGAAGAATCGACAATAACTTAACACACATAAAGTATGAAACTTCCTTTAATTACGTATAACATTCGGCACAGGGAGTTATTGACATTTTTTTTTTAGGATCAGAATTTTCAGCTTCTACTTTTCTACTATTTATATGTTTTTTGCAAATCAGCTCAACGCTTTTTCCGCTATCATTTTCTGGGGTGGGCCGTAATTCTCTCTGAAATTGTAGTTTTTTAATGTAGTGTAAGACCTACAAACACTTGTCTTTTTTTTCTACCCGCGACCCCCCGTGTAAGGCTTCGCAACCCCCCAGGGGGTCGCGACCCACAGGTTGAAAAACACTGGTGTAGACGATTATTGCATGTATACGAACCCAATAGTCTGTAAGTTGGAATCATTTTAAAGAACCTGTGTTTGATGAATAAAAAAATTTTGTATTTTTACTCGTTTTATATGTTTCCTGTCTGCAATAATGCCCTCAAACGAAACTTCACACTATTTTTTTTTTTAACTCTCTCCGCCCTATGGACATTGAGATGTCCATTTTTTTTTTAAAGCAAAGCACATTACGGGTTCGACCAGATCCTCAACGGGGTAGTCGAGTGGTGATGAATGGGTTTAATTAACTTATCCCGAGGACCATTCCTGAATAATTTCTGGGGACTTTTTGGACCTGTCCTGATTCGATCCCGGGTCTCCCAGAGCGGTAGGTTCTGGAGAGGCTCTCCAGGAGAGCCTACCGCTCTGGGAGACCCGGGATCGAACACCCCCTTTCAATTAATGGCCGGATGGCCGAGCGGTCAAGATGGCAGCATACCGCTCTGGGGGATCCGGGATCGAATTCAAACGAGTTGAAAAATCCCTAGGAATTTTTTAGGGAGTGGTCCGTCCGGGTATGTAAGGGCACAGTCTCTCACTACCCAGCCGCCCCATTGTGGGCCTGGCCGAATCCGTAATGGGCTTGTTAAACGAAGCCCTCTTAGTGCTCACGGGGAAAAGAGAGTTAAAAAAAAAACACCCTTACAATTTACTCTAAAGATATAATAAATCAATTTATACAAAACTTCATTTTACATTACTAAAGATCAAGATTTGATTTTAAAATTTTATTTTAAATTAATATTTCAAAACTGTTTCATTCATTATAAATGAATAATTGTAAAAATGTTAAATTTGTAATTGTAAATGTAAAATTGAATAATTGTTCTTATCAAAATTGCATATTTTAATAATTACTTTAAATAATTATACAGAGGGTTTAAAACATTCTGGGTAATCATTTTAACTATTAAAGAAATAAAATAATAAATAAGATTTTAAATAGTAAAAACAATTACAATAAAATTTTCTAAAATAAAAAATACTGTTTATTTATTTAAATATAATTTTATATTTTTAAACTATTCAGATATTTATTTTATTATTTAAATATTTTATAATGTGTACTCTTTCCTGTTGATAACAATTGATTATTATGTGACATCACTTAATATTTATTGACTTATAAAGTACAAAAATAAAAATATTTAGGGCAAATTTGACAAAATCATACAAATATATATATAAATATATATATATTTTATTAGTTCATGTTATTTAAAATCACCAAATAACATTAATTGATAATTTTACTACGGATACGGCCTTACCTAATTTTCTAAGAATTTATTTACCACTGTTACAATCGTTATCATAATTTCAAAAACAAATTTAACCATATAATATTCTACAATCTTTAAAATATATTTATAAGCACGTATATAGGCTTATATACTCTCTATTATAAAAATAATTGAATATATAATTTAAAAAAAAAAATTTATTAGTTAAATATATTATAATTTATTCATAAAAATGTACTAAAATATTAATTAATTATGCTATTTATTTCCTAATAATTTCATTTATTCTTTCTATTTTCACAAAAGGAGTGATAAAAATCTGACTATTGAAAGAAATGTCAAAGAGCGTGTCCATAGTCCAATTTTTAAATGATTCATTCTAATTATTAAAGTCAATAGAAATCAATTAGCCAAAAAAATTATTTATTTTATAGGGAATTTTTCTTCTTATTTTTTACTCATTTATTATTGTTTAGTCATAGATACGAGCTGGGAAACAGATCCTGCTTTCCCATGTAGAACCAATCTATTTGTTAAGAATTACTCATCCCCTTTTGAAAGCAAATGATAATAAAAAAAATATATATTTATTTATTTAATTACACATTTTATTTCGAATAAAAATAAAAAAAAACATTTTAAATCAATTTTATATATTTAACTCGTTAAAAAATACAAGAAAACATATCGAATTCGACGATTTATTGCAAGCTAATAGCATCGCGTGCGAATTTCCTAAATTGTCTCTGCCAGATGACATTCAAATCGTAAAGATAACTAAAAAAAAACCCTAGTATTACTACGCCACCGGAAATAGTTCAAAAATTATAAAATAAAATAAAACGAAACGATTAAAAATAAATAATTAAATACATAAAATAAATTGGTTAATCGTACAAAAAAATAAAAAAAATTAAAAAATTAATCAGATTTTTTAAAAAAAGTTTTACAAATTAAACATTAGTCTTGTTATTACGTCAGTGGTGTGTCATTTCCATCCGCGGATAGCGAAGCCACCATTTTGATGTTAAAATATATATATGTAATTTTTTCGAAGAAGTTTTGATTACGATAAAGAAATTTTATTATAAATTGATTTAATTTTCGATTGAAACTGAGATCGTTTGAAAGAAATTGTATAAATTTTCAAGTTATATCTGGTGATTAGAAGTGGATCGGTGGATCGAGTAGGATCAGGTGGGGCAGCAAATAGGTTCCTGAAAGAACGCAGTCTTATCGTACAGCTGCTGCAAAGTGAGAGAGAGAGAGCCTCTTTATGTCTTTTTCGTAATATTCAGTTTACTGAATCCACCTGGAGAATGGAAGCGATCGCTAAACACGATTTTAATGCCACAGCCGATGATGAACTCAGCTTTAGAAAGGGACAAGTTTTGAAGGTGAAATTGATAACTTTTCCATATTACAAATTGATCATCTCTTCTCATTTTTAACTAATTTATCCATTTTTTTTTTTTTACTCCACATCTCTATATTATATGGTGAAGTATAGGGTTTTATCTTGTATATAGATTATTGTATTCCACTTTTTTTTACTTCACGTCTCTATATTTGTAATTTTATATGGTAAAGAAGTATACGTGTTTACCTTTTACGGTAGAGTCCCGCTAGTTCGAAGTAATTGGGACCGAGCTCCGTTCGGATTAGCCGAATAATCGAAATAATGCAGGAGCGAGGGGTAAAACGGGTCCTGTTTATATAGATCTGACACCGTCGGTGAGTTTTTGTGCGTTAGTACGGTATAGATCTGCTGTTTTAATAGGACGTGTCAAATACTGATTTATTAATTTTTTATAACATTAATACGGTACTACAATAAAATACTATTTTTTTTTGTTGTGGAGTTCTAAATCTTTTTGTACCATTAATATCATTTAAATTCAACTGGAAAATACAAAAAACATATATTTTGCCAGCTAAGAAATTCCTCTCTGCCGACCGAAATGTGTTCGGACTAGCGGGGCTCTGCTGAGATATGTATCCCAATTTTTCACTGATTTACCCAGTTTTTTTGCTCCCCATCTCTATATTTGTGATTTTATATAGGTTCCTTTATCCTAATTTTTATTGATATCTGTATTTTGTTAATTGAATTTTCTCAGATTTAGTCAGATTTTTAATATATATCACACTAACCTTATAAAGCTTTGCAGAATTTTTTAACGTATCGCAAACATTTTCGGTCTACCCTTGGACCTTCTTCGGGTGTAGTTCTATTGGAGAAAACCTCTTTGGTGCAATCCGTTTTCAATGCATTCTAATTTCCTTTCAAAGTTTTTCTTTTAAATCTTTTAAATAGAACACCACCTGAAATAGGTCCTAGAATGGACCGAAAATGTTTATGATATGTTAAAAAAATTCTGCAAAGCTTTATAAGGTTAGTGTGATGTAAATAAAGCGTTGAGAAATATAAGATGGATTTTATTCTCGGATTTTCTTGATGAAATTGACTTTCATTTTAAAAACGTTTATATTTTTGTTGCCTATGTTAATAAGCCTGCATAATTATTTTTTAATAGGATTTTATTTTGAATGTATTAAAAAAAGAATGTAGTATAAATTTTTATTTAACAGTATATCTACTTTTTAGAAGTTTTTAATCATGTAATCATGCTGTATCATATTTTTATCAAAAATTTTAATCTAGTATGATTTTGTAAAAAATTTTTGCTTATCTTGAATTTTAATTGATTTTTGATAGAGTGTAAATGTATTAATTTTGTTTTTCAACTAATCTTATATGTTATTATATTTGAATGTACGTAGTAAATTTGCAGCTTATCTAGAAAAGAAAATAAATTTATGAAACAGCTTTACAGAAAATTTTTTTACAAATTTAACAGATTATATTTCAAAAACTGCAAAATAAAATTATATATAATCCAAAATTGGAATATTTACTTTTTATGACTTCCATATACATCAAAAAGAGCATGACAATATACAGGCATCTTTAATAATGCTATTTTAAATGCTTTAATGAAATGCAATCTACAGTTAAAATTTTTATTTTTGTTGAAATCATTCCAGTAAAATTTTTTCCAATATAATTTTTACAAAGATAAATTTATGTTCTTAATCATATGAATCTTTTAGTTTAATTTGCTAAAATATTGACATTGTTTTAATATTGAACTGCAGTCACATATTTATAAATAATACTTGCTAAATACAATTTTTACAATTATTATTTTAATTTTAGTTATATATATATATTATATTATATTATGCAAGTTCAATATAACTAACTGTATTCATCGTGTAATCTTTCCTAAATATATAAAGGTTTTATCAAATTAATAATCTTAACAGTTTTTATAATGGGAATCAATAAATTTAATAGAAGTAAGAATCTGTCATGAGTATGACCATTATATCATTATATAGGAAATTAGATACATTGAAAGTTTCTTTGTTGTAATTATGAACTTGTAAATAGTTTATCAGAAATGAATATATTATTATCATGATTACATCTAATCAAGCATTTAAAATAATTGATTATTAGCATTTTAAAATTTCATTATGAAATCGTACTTTTTATAATATTAAGTCAGATTTAATAATTAAAATCTTATTTATTTGTATGTTTTCTCTTAGTGCATAGATGACTGCATTATATCACATTTAGATTATTACTTGCATTATTGATAGTCTTTTATTCATACTAAAAAATTATCCAATTTTAAATATAATTGTGTTTTTGCAGAGTTAAAATGGTTACATTGATGCATTTGCAAGTTAAATTCAATACAAAATGGCAAATTAGGAATATGTTAAATTTTCAAATATTCAGATTAATATTTTTAATTCACTTCATGTTTAATGTGAATCAGTTTTACTCTTTAGAATCAGTTTCTTTTCATAAAAGAAATTTTACATTATCAGCTATATTGAGTTACAAATATTCTTGGATATCTTTTATAGATAATGAGGAAATTTTGTCTTTGCTTTTTACTGATATGAAAACATAATTTGTTTCATTCTTTAATATTAAATATGACTACACTATAAATAAAAAAACAAAAGATTTTTTTATATTAAATCCATCCTTTGAATTGGTGAAATTTGAAACTAAACTTTTGAATATAAGCAGAAATAATTTCTGATATTTTATTCATATGTATTAAAAAGTGTAATTTGAAAACTATTTTTTTTTATTATTCTACAGCAACTTTCTATAAATTTCATTAAAGATATTTTTAATTAATAGTGTAATAAGTAAAGATGGTATAACACATACAATCAATGAATTTGCTAGTTACAGTATGATATATCGGCAGTATCAGATTTTCCAGATCCTTTTTTTGGTTTACTTTATAATTCAAAATGATGATAATTAATTTTGTCCTCTTGTTTGTCCAATGTGAAAAAGTGAATACAATAAAATGAATAGAGAGAAGTTAGAAACAAAGATAACAATGAAAAAAATAGCATGCATTGTTTTTACTCATTTGACAATATTTATCATTTTAAAGAACAACATAAGAATGAATTTATAAATGTAGTTAATTCAGTCTAGATATTTTGTAACATACGATAAATTATTCTAAAAACTGATGCATTGCAAATAGTGATATAGGGATGTAACCAGAAATTTGTGGGGAGAAGTTTCCCTCTATTGGCTTATATAGACTTAGCGTGTAGATAGATTTGTAAAAACACAATAGCCAAAGATCACTAACAGCAAATTATTGTGCGTTGAGTTGGTATGGCAGCTCCTTGCATATATGCAAGCCAGTAATATATCACAATGCTCAATTTAAAAAAAAAAAGGAAACACTGAACACAAATAAGTATTAATTTTTATTCTTCTTTACCTAAAGCTATTCATATATTCGTTTTAGTCTGACATGCCTGTTTTATGTTTCATCTAATGGTCAACTACTTGTGACTTTTTTGCTGTTTACTTTTAAACTTGTACGGTATGGCAGTAAGAAGCAGAAGACATAAAAATGCTGCATCTCTGGGCAATAAATTACTTAATTGACGAGCTTGGTGGAGAAATGGTATATTTCACAGGAAATTTTCAAGAAAAAGAATGATTTGTGTTTCAATTTATCAACACTTTAATTATGCAATGTTTTATTAATGTGAGTATACAAACCAAATAGGACATGCAACTGAACTGTGAAAATTTTTTTAGATGGAATGATGCAAATGTCCAATTTGTTAAAAAGTTGTTTTTTGTAGTTTTGTGAGATATGACATTTTCTCACCAAACCCCTCAATTCTTAATAGTAATAAGAGTAATAATTCTTATATTGTATGTATATATTATCTCATTATCATTTGTTATGATGCAGTACATGTATGTAATTGGTGATTATTAACTATGCTTTGGAGATTAAAGTGTGGTTAATAATCACTTATATATATTGTACTATAGTGCACAATACTAAAGGACAATAAATATATACAGCATAAGAATTATTTGTGATTTACTGTTCCTACTTGCAATACATTGTGGATAATAGAAAGTTACTCTTGTCATAACTCAGTATAGCTAATGTTATACATATGAATAGTTCATTTTTGAATATAATTTGCTAAATTAAATATATTCATAAACTAATTAGTTTTAAACTACATAATGGAATGGAATGTTATCAACTAAATATTTAGGTTTAATTATTTTCAGAACAATTTTTTCTGAGTATATAATATATTAAATATATAAAATATTATATTGTTAAATATTCAATAGATGACTAAATTCCATTCCTTAATGATAAATTTGTTGGATTGTTAATAAGTTTAATTGGATATATTAAATCAATATTTCATTCAAATCAAGTTTAATTACTAAATATGTATATACTGTAATTACATTTCTTTTGTAAACCATTGTATTTAGAATTTTATAATATTTTTAATTTAAATTGAAAACAGTTAAATATTACAAGTATTTCTAAGTAAAAATACATTTATAAGTAGCTTATTCTGTTACTTTTATATTCTATTTTTAATTGTATGTGTAAGCTTGAAAGTATTTGTCTATAATTAAGAATTGTAGCAAAATTTAAATGGTCAAAATACTATGTATATTTTACAGATATTATTTTGAATTGATGATTCAAAAGTTTGATAGAATGCATTTTTTATTTAGTAATAATTCTTTTTTATTGTAAAATGACTTTGATCTTTTTACTTGTCTATTTGTAAAATCTACAAGCAAAAATTGATGATTAAACATTTTTCTGTGATAATAAACTAAAATTATCATTATTATTATTAATTGTCAAATTATCAAATTGAAATTGTCAAACAGAAACTGTCAAATAGAAATTAATTTCTGTTTGACAATTTCAATTTTAATATATTCATTTTTTTAAAATTGAAATATTTTCCAGTCTTCTGTATTCAATTATATTAAAAC